ACAATCCCACCATTTTGGGGGGACCCTTCCCACCTTTCCTGATCAGCTCGATGGCCTGGGCACGTCGGTCGATGCCGAAATTCTCCCACTGCAAGGTTTTGTCCAGGTAGTGAACGGCGATGACCGTGGGGGTCAGGGCGATCATGTTCTGCTCCCCACAACCCGACGGCGTCACGATCAGGTGTTTCAGCTTGGCCCCGTCGATGGCTTTCTCCACGATGATGGACACGGGGTTTCCTGGGTCGGCAGGACAGGTGTCACACCTGAGGATGTCCCACCCGTCGCCCGGGGATGTCCCCAAGGTCGTGGCATCTCCTCGGTGCTCACCTTGGATGCTGACTTTGGTCTCCGATTCCGTGTCGGGGACGATGTCCGACAGATCCGCGGCTTTCACCCGCTCCTCCTGCACCCCGTCTGTGGGGTGGGGTGGATGTGGGTGACCCCCAAATCTTCCTCAACCCCCACCCCACACCAGGGTGTCCCTTGTCCCCAAAGACGCCCCAGTTCCGTGGTGGGGGGGTGTCCCTTGTCCTCTAAGTTGTCCCAAAATTTAATTTTGGGGGAATCTCCTTGATCCCCAGAGATGTCCCAGAGGCACAGTGGGATCTCCCCAAATCTCAAAGATGTCCCAAACCCACAGTGGGGTGTCCCTTGTCCCCAGAGATGTCCCAAAGCCACAGTGGGGTGTCATTTGTCCCCAAAGATGTCCCAAACACTCAGTGGGGTGTCCCTTGTCCCCAAACACATCCCAAATCCCCAGTGGAGGGTCCTGTGTCCCCAAAGATTCCCTAGACCCACCATGGGACCTCCCAGAACCCCAGAGATTTCCCAGACCCACCGTGGGGTGTCCCTGGCCCCCAAAGATGTCCCAAACCCTCAGTGGGGTCTGCCCGAACCCCAGAAATGTCTCAAAGCCCCAGTGGGGTGTCCCTGGTTCCCACAGATGTCCCAAATCCCCAGTGGGGTGTCCTTTGTCCCCAAAGATGTCCCACACCCACCATGGGACCTCCCCGAACCCCAAAGATGTCCCAGATCCCCAGTGGGGTGTCCCTTGTCCCCAAGACATCCCAAATCCACAGTGGGGTGGCCCTGGTCCCCAAAGACATCCCAGACCCCCAGTGGGGTCTCCCTTGTCCCCAAAGACATCCCAGACCCCCAGAGGGGTGTCCTTTGTCCCCAAGACATCCCAGACCCCCAGAGGGGTGTCCCTTGTCCCCAAAGACATCCCAGACCCCCAGAGGGGTGTCCCTTGTCCCCACAGATGTCACTCACTGATTCCCTTGTTCTGTGGGTCCAGCTCCACGATCTTCACCGTCTTCTCCAGCCTCAACCCCTCGGGCTGTGGGGGGCAGAGTCCGGAGCTGAACGTGGGGCTGGCTCTGGGCTCCACCCCCATCCCAGCCCCTCTGACCTCCCAGTATAAACCAGTAACCCCAGTGACACACTGGGACGACGCCAGGTGGCCACACTCGGCCACCTTGAGGGGACAATCCTTCAGCCCAGGGTTGGAAAATCCCTTCGAGGTCCAAGGCGTGACCCAATTGTCACCTTGTCACCCAGATGGTGACAACCGAGGGTCACACGTGTTCAAAATATGAAATCAATGAGGATATTGAATCCAAATATTAAATCAATAAAGGTATTGAATCCAAATATTAAATCAATAAAGGTATGGAATACAAATATTAAATCAATAAAGGTATGGAATCAAAATTTAAATCAATAAAGGTATTGAAGAAAAATATTAAATCAATGAGGGTATGGAATCAAAATTCAAATCAATGAGAGTATGGAATCAAAATTTAAATCAATAAAGGTATTGAATCAAAATATTAAATCAATAAAGGTATTGAATCAACATTTAAATTAATAAAGGTGTTGAAGCAAAATATTAAATCAATAAAGGTATGGAAGTAAAATATGAAATCAATGAGGATATCGAATCAAAATATTAAATCAATAAAGGTATTGAATCAAAATATAAAATCAATAAAGGTATGGAATCCAAATATTAAATCAATGAGGGTATTGAAGCAAAATACTAAATCAATAAAGGTATTGAAGCAAAATATAAAATCAATAAAGGTATGGAATCNACAATCCCACCATTTTGGGGGGACCCTTCCCACCTTTCCTGATCAGCTCGATGGCCTGGGCACGTCGGTCGATGCCGAAATTCTCCCACTGCAAGGTTTTGTCCAGGTAGTGAACGGCGATGACCGTGGGGGTCAGGGCGATCATGTTCTGCTCCCCACAACCCGACGGCGTCACGATCAGGTGTTTCAGCTTGGCCCCGTCGATGGCTTTCTCCACGATGATGGACACGGGGTTTCCTGGGTCGGCAGGACAGGTGTCACACCTGAGGATGTCCCACCCGTCGCCCGGGGATGTCCCCAAGGTCGTGGCATCTCCTCGGTGCTCACCTTGGATGCTGACTTTGGTCTCCGATTCCGTGTCGGGGACGATGTCCGACAGATCCGCGGCTTTCACCCGCTCCTCCTGCACCCCGTCTGTGGGGCGGGGTGGATGTGGGTGACCCCCAAATCTTCCTCAACCCCCACCCCACACCAGAGTGTCCCTTGTCCCCAAAGACGCCCCAGTTCCGTGGTGGGGGGGTGTCCCTTGTCCTCTAAGTTGTCGCAAAATTTAATTTTGGGGGAATCTCCTTGATCCCCAAAGATGTCCCAGACCCACAGTGGGATCTCCCCAAATCTCAAAGATGTCCCAAACCCACAGTGGGGTGTCTCTTGTCCCCAGAGATGTCCCAAAGCCACAGTGGGACCTCCCCGAACCCCAAAGATGCCCCAAACCCAGAGTGGGACATCCCTGAACCCCAGAGATGTCCCAGACCCCCAGTGGGGTGTCCTTTGTCCCCAAAGATGTCCCACACCCACCATGGGACCTCCCCGAACCCCAAAGACGTCCCAGACCCCCAGTGGGGTGTCCCTTGTCCCCAAAGACATCCCAGACCCCCAGAGGGGTGTCCCTTGTCCCCAGAGATGTCCCAGACCCCCAGAGGGGTGTCCCTTGTCCCCACAGATGTCACTCACTGATTCCCTTGTTCTGTGGGTCCAGCTCCACGATCTTCACCGTCTTCTCCAGCCTCAACCCCTCGGGCTGTGGGGGGCAGAGTCCGGAGCTGAACGTGGGGCTGGCTCTGGGCTCCACCCCCATCCCAGCCCCTCTGACCTCCCAGTATAAACCAGTAACCCCAGTGACACACTGGGACGACGCCAGGTGGCCACACTCGGCCACCTTGAGGGGACAATCCTTCAGCCCAGGGTTGGAAAATCCCTTCGAGGTCCAAGGCGTGACCCAATTGTCACCTTGTCACCCAGATGGTGACAACCGAGGGTCACACGTGTTCAAAATATGAAATCAATGAGGATATTGAATCCAAATATTAAATCAATAAAGGTATTGAATCCAAATATTAAATCAATAAAGGTATGGAATACAAATATTAAATCAATAAAGGTATGGAATCAAAATTTAAATCAATAAAGGTATTGAAGAAAAATATTAAATCAATGAGGGTATGGAATCAAAATTCAAATCAATGAGAGTATGGAATCAAAATTTAAATCAATAAAGGTATTGAATCAAAATATTAAATCAATAAAGGTATTGAATCAACATTTAAATTAATAAAGGTGTTGAAGCAAAATATTAAATCAATAAAGGTATGGAAGTAAAATATGAAATCAATGAGGATATCGAATCAAAATATTAAATCAATAAAGGTATTGAATCAAAATATAAAATCAATAAAGGTATGGAATCCAAATATTAAATCAATGAGGGTATTGAAGCAAAATACTAAATCAATAAAGGTATTGAAGCAAAATATAAAATCAATAAAGGTATGGAATCAAAATTTAAATCAATAAAGGTATTGAAGAAAAATATTAAATCAATGAGGGTATGGAATCAAAATACTAAATCAATAAAGATATTGAATCAAAATATTAAATCAATAAGGGTATCGAATCAAAATATTTAATCAATAAGAATATCTATTCAAAATATTAAATCAACAAGGATATCGAATGAAAATATTAAATCAATAAAAATATTGAATCAAAATATTAAATCAATAAGGGTATTGAAGCAAAGCATAAAATCAATAAAGACATTGATTCAAAATATGAAATCAATGAGTGTATTGAATCAAAATATGAAATCAGTAAGGGTATGGAATCAAAGTATTAAATCAATAAGGGTATCAAATCAAAATATTAAATGAATAAAGGGTATGGAATCAAAACATTAAATCAATAAGGGTATTGAAGCAAAGTATTAAATTAATAAGGGTATGGAATAAAAATTTAAATCAATGAGGGTATGGAATCAAAATTTAAATCAATAAGGCTATTGAAGCCAAACATTAAATCAATGAGGGTATGGAATCAAAATATTAAATCAATAAAGGGTATGGAATCAAAATATTAAATCAATAAGGGTATCAAATCAAAATATTAAATGAATAAAGGGTATTGAATCAAAATATTAAACCAATGAGGGTATGGAATCAAAATATTAAATCAATTAAGGTATTGAAGCAAAATATTGAAGATACTGACTAAAAATATTGAATCAATAAAGATATTGGTTAAAAATATTGAATCAATGACGATATCAAATGAAAATCTTGAACC